TGAGGATAATACCTGGAGTTTCACCATTCACACCTGAAGTGGAGGGAGGTGGGCAGCTACACACCAGGGGAGGGACCTGAATTTTAGGCCGGACTCTGTCCCATCTGGCTGAGTGGCTATGAGTGACCCTGGTTCTCCCCTTCATTGTCTAGCAAACATGAAGCCACAAAAAAGGCAGGCCTCTGAGACCTCCAGCTCTCATGGTCCCCAGGCCTGAGTGACAGCATGAATGACCGAAGCCAGCCAATTCCTGAGGTCAGAAGAAGAGAGCAGGAGGGCCAGAGCCAGGGTCATGGAAGGAGAGGCAGGCTGGGGGCTCTACCCAGGTAAAGTGGGTGACAAGACCCCTGATGCCAGACCTGGAGGTTCCCAGATCCTGTCCCAGGGGCTTTCCCACTGAGTGACCCTGACAAGTCCCTCCACCCTCCAGGGCTCAGTTCCCCCCACCCCGCCCCGTCTAGCTAAGCTGGCGGGTAAGTGGACCGTGCCTCTCTCTAGTGGGAGCCCCCCGAGGTGCCTCTGGGCGGGGGGGCAGCTGCTTCCCAGCTCTCCAACTGTTGCCACGTGGGAATGTGGGCCGGAGTTGCCAGATCTTGCAAATTTTCAGTAGAAGCCAAAAATATGGAATTTAAAATGTAAACTCTCCCAATTTTTAAATGTTGGCTCAAATGTTTTTTAAAAAATTTTTAAAACCTCTTGCAGGCCAAATACAACATGCCTGCAAGCCAGATTTAGATCCGGAGGCCAGCTCGCAGCCGTTCGGCCGCGATGGGAGCCCGAGGCCCTGCCTAAGGCTACCTTGGAGCCCAGGGAGAGGCAGGCAGGGTGGGGAGTGAGACGGGGTGCAGCTCAGCTCAGCTCAGCCAGCGGCCAGGGCCTCTGGAATCCCAGGAAGAAGGACCCTCCAGCCCCATCTGGAGGCACCAGTGCCAAGCCAGGACCCCAGTTCAGCTCCCCAACTTACTGGGGGTACCTGCGACAAGCACTCACCTCTCCCTTCCATCGAGTAGGGACAGGAAAACACACAGCTCACCTTGGTCCTGGGACAAGGGTATGGGCGGGTGACCTGCTGTGTGGCCAGCACAGGCCAGCCCTGCGGGGAACGCTGAGGAACACGAAGCCAGCTTCTTACCCAGGACACAGTCTGTGAACACTGGTCTCCCCTCCTCTCCTGGAAAACCCCGCTCTCCTCCTCCTTTCCTCTGCTGCTTCTCAGTGTCCTTCTCAGGCTCCGCCCCTCCTTGCACCCTGACCTTGAAGCAGCATCTCTACACCCCACACTCACTCCCTTGGCATCTCCTCCAGTCCTGTGACTTTTAGTGCTGCGTCTACACCAGCCACTCCCAGATTCACATATCCTGGACCTGTGCCCCTGCCCCCTTGACCATGTCCCCACTGGGACGTCTGTCACCTCTAGACCTGAGCCCCGATCTTCTCCCCTTCCGGCCGGGAGCACCTCTCCCACCTGCACCCTCGCTCCGCAGGCCTGGCTTGGTGCTGACTGGACCTCTGCGGCCCCACACTTACCCTTCAGTGCGTCCCACACACAGCGACGCCAGGGACAGTCCTCTGTTTGGCCTTGCGGGGCTCCCGACCCAATCAGGACAGAAGCCCAAGTCCTGACCGTAGCCCGTGACACACACCTTTGCTCCCCACAGGCGACCAGATGGTCCCAGACTCACCAGGCCCCCCACGCCCAGAGCCTGCTGCTCCCCTGAGCTCCCTGTCATGGCTCTCTCTTCATCTTGACCTCCCTTTGGACAGTTCCAGCCAGCCCCAGGCTTCCCTCCTCCCCATCAGACACTGGGGCAGCAGGGGCGCTGTGCTGACCTCCCATGTAATCCGCATTCTAGCGAGAATATCCAAACCATCAGGGCACGGAGCTTCCTCTGGCTCGTTCTCTGCTGAGTCCCCTAGAACAAGGCACATGGTCCGTGTTTGTTGAATGAGGGCAAGAAGGCATCTTAGAAGGCTGTCCACCCCAGATAATTAAATTTAAAAGGCTGCTTCTCCAGAGGAGCCCTATCCCCAAGATAGTCCCTTATGCATGGCTACCTTGTCACTTGCAATGTCCTTTGAAACTTTTCCATGCACCCTAGATGTGGGATTGAGCTCAGAGAGGTTGAGAGACTTGCCAGAGGTCACACAGCTGCATAGGAGTCTTCATCAGTGGGAGGTGGGTGACCTCTGTGGTAGCCACACCTGGGATTCGAACCCCCCACACCCCCTCCACATTGTTCGGCTTGTTTCCTCCCCTGGAGTTGGAAGTCAGGGAGCAAGATGAGGGGGAAACGGAGGAAGCCAGAGACCTGAGTGGATTTATGGAGACCTCAGCAGTGGAGCACTAGGGTCAGAGTCTGAGAGGCCAGCCCCCGGCCCCAAGGGAGGACAGGGACTGGCCCAGGGTCACATGGCGAGACAGAGGCCAAGCTGGGACCAGAACCCAGGCTCCCTGTGTCCCAGGCCTGGCTCTCAGCACCAAGCAGGCCCGTCCCCAGACGGAGACTCCCATTCCCTCTCTCTGTAGTTTGGAAACAGAAGGATCTGGAGTGGAATGGGCAGCAATGCAACCCAGCCAGATGGTCCAGTGGAATAGGGACACACCGGCTGGCAGGGGTGGGGGGGTGTGGAGTGGGAGGACCCACAGCCTCAGAGGGGCTCCCCAGGCAGGACTCTGTGCAGATGTGCCCTTGGGCTCAGGCGCCACCTAGCTTGGGGAGGGTCACAGGGTGGTGAGTGAATGGTAGGAGCCAGGAGGCCAGGAAGGTGCTCAGGGCGCAGAGCAGGTGCGTCTGGGGGAGGGGGGAGGGGAAAAGGGCAACTGCTGTGGTTCTGGTGTCACCGCTTGCCACTGGAGGCCTCTGTGCCAGGCGCTGGGGATAGAAGTATCGTTTATAGAGCAGAGGCAGAGTGGGAGGCAAATGACCAAGGAGGAGACTGGTGAGATGAGAAGTCTTTTGGTGGGCAAGGAGCTACTCCAGATGAGTCGTCAGAGACAGAAGGCACTAGCCACTCGAGATCTGGGGCAGAGCATTCCAGATGCAGGGAAGACGTGCAAAAGCCCTGAGGCAGGAGCCAGCTGGGTGAGCTTGGGACCAGCAAGGAGTCGTGTGGCCACTGTGTGCCAAGTAAGGGGCAGGTTGGAGGTGAGGTCAGAGGGTTAGGTAGATTGGCCTCCCTCCATTGCCTCTTGGGAGCGCCTCCTGTGTGCCACTCACGTGCCCAGGTGCCACTAGGAGGATGGCATTCCGGGGCAAGGACAGAGAGCAGGTGGGCTGAGGCAAGGAGCCAACCAGCAGGGCTCATGGGAGGTTTTGGGGAAATAAGATGGCTACTGGGCTGGACCATCAGGAGGGGACAAGGTCACAGTGTGCCGCAGGAGGAGGTGTGGGGCCATGGGTATGGGAGTCCCTGGAGAAGAGTGCTGGGATCCCACTTGCCTGTAGGTCCCTAGAGGGGCCAGAGGGTATGTCCTGCCCCATCATTTCACACTGAGGACCCTGGACATCCCACAGGCCCCTCACGTTCATAGTCATCCTCCAATATTGGAGGCCCCCCTCTGGCCGAAGACCCGGGCAGTGCCCCCATTCCCCTCTACCCAGCCCAACAGGCAGGCCCTGGATTACTTTAGGTGACTTGGAATAAGCCCATTTCAGGCTCTGGTCTTGTTTTTCTCATCCGTAAAAGGGGCATTTCAGGAATATTCCCAAATCTTGTGCTTCTGAATTGCAGAGTCAACTTGAACCTGAAGGTCTGGCCCCAACACTAAGACCATTGCCAAAGGCATTGCACCTCCACACAGGGCTGGCCTCACTGCTCCCCAGCCACGTACAGCTGTGACTGCTTATCACATGGGCATCCAGAGCCGCGTCCAGGCTTCCAAACCCTGGGTGAGGCTCTAGGCTAGCCCTGGGCCAGGGCCTGGAAAGGTCCTGCCCCGGAGGGGTACGCGTCTGGTATGGAGACCTAAACCAAACAACTCCACTGGGTCTCCATGGAGGGCTGCCTGGAGGAGGCGATCTTTAAGGATGAGGGCACAGGCACTGGGTCTGGGGAGAATCTGAGTCCTCGTGGAGGGGTCAGAGCCAGGCTTCAGGGTCTGGAGTAGCAGCATGAAGGGAGGGGCTCCAGGGTGCCAGGGCTAGACCCCCTCTCCTTCCCCACAAGCCTTCCTGGCCTGCTCCCTCCCCCACCACCAGGACAACTCAGCAGCCTCCCCAGAGATTTCTTCTTGGGGATGAAACTCCCAGACAGACCTTTTAGAGAAGCTGAAACATTCACTATAAATAATTAATGCTAGATTTTTTAAATTAAATTTTAATACATTCTTATTAATTTTAGACAAACTCCCTGGCAGATCATTCACTGTGAGTGATTGAGACAACCAAAGACATAGGAGGGGTGCCCCTAGCCTTTGCGGGGGGGGGGGGGGGGGGGGAAGGCCTCTCTCTGAGGGCTGGGTTCCAGGCCCTGCTGGGCTGGGCTGGGCTTTGGCCTTTGCTTTCCTTATCGGTGAAATGGGAATGATGGCTTCTCTGCTGAGCGGTCCAGAGGAGCCACCATTTTGGGGGCCAGGGGTCGGGGCGGTTGTGCCAGTATTTATCCTTGACCCTCTGCGGAGGGGGAACTCCCAGGACAGAGTGAGGGTTTCCTTTCTCAACCATTAGCCCCCAGAGGGCAGGGCTCACCTCATTGGCTGTCCGCTCCCACCGCAAGAACTTAGCTCAGAGCTAATGCATGTGCACGAAAGCGCCGGGGGATGGAGGAACACTTGGGCTTTTGGGGTTGGGTATGAACCTGGCTGGGGCTGACCCTGAGAAAGCACGGCTCCTCCCACCCAGCGCGGGCCCTGTGGAGGCCAGGCCTGCTGGGTGCTGGGGGTGCCCCGGTGAAGGGACAGAGCTCCTGCCTGGAACTCACAGCCAGAGAGGAGAGGCAGGAAAAGACACGCCACAGTGGTGTAGGATCTAGGCATGCCCTGTCCGTGTTTATTGAGCGCCTGCTGTATGCTGGGATCTAATGTGCGGAGCCCGGTGATGGGGACCTGGGAAAGGTGGGCCTGGGATGGATACGGGGGCTTTCGGGGGAGGCATTGGCTCGGCGGCCAATTCTCTGTCTTTAGGGGAGAAGGGTTTTTAGAGGGGGGTCTGGGCTTGTGGGCTCCGACAACTTTTAGAGTCAGTGTCGTATCTGGCGACCAATCCGGGCCCCCGGCGGATCCTTTCTTCTAAAATTCCTTCCCCCCACCCAGCCCCTCCACTGCCCGCTGGTGCTGAAGGGCAGCAGAGCGCTTCGTCCGCCTCCCCCTGCCCCCAACCCCGGCTCGCAGGTGAGGGTACAGGCCAGCGGAGTCCCGGGAGGGCCTGCCGAGCACCCGGGGAGTTGGCGGCCGAGCCCGGCGGAGGACCCCGGGCCGGGCCTCCTAGCTCGGCGCTGTTGGCCGGGCTGCGCCCTCGCCCGGCGGGGCGGTGGGGGAGGCGGCGTGGGGCCCGGACCGGAGCGGAGCGCGCTCCCGGCGGACGCGGCGGCGGCGCCGGAGCGAGGGGCCGGGATGGGCAGTCATCAGTCTTCCCAGGTGTGTCGCGTGGTCCCTGGGCTCAGACCCCCGTCCCCCTTTAGTGCCAGTCGTGGCACGGAAAGACGGGGGGAAAGCTCCCGGGAGCGGCCTTCCCGGGCGATGGAGAGCCCGCCCCGCGCCCCCCGCTCCGCGCAGGAAGTGCGATCCCGCCCGGGCCGCTCGCGGTCCCCATCGGTCGCCGGCGCCCGCAGGGTTAACGGCAGCGGGTGGGTCTCCCCGCCCGGCGCGCGGAGGGGCTGCCCGGCTGTGCGGAGCTGGGCAGGGAGGGTCTCCTAGCCGCGCGCGGGCGGGTGTGCGCAAGCCCGGCAGGGAGCCCCGCCGGCGAGCCGGGCGCGCAAGGGTTAATCCCTCGGGCCCGGGAGGGGCGAGCCAGGCCCAGAACCCCAGAATCTGAGGGCAGCGGGGTCTCTGACTGAGCAGTCTGAGGTCCCAAATGCCATCACCCTCGGATCGTGTTGAGTGTCGGGTTCTGCAATCCCGTATGGTTCCCAATTCCTGGATTCGAACAGTCTCCGACTAGGAGATTCTGCGATTCCGGGCTCGGCTTCCTCCAGGAGGGAGCGCGGGGTTGGAAGGGTTAACGGGCGGGCAGGTGGGGGGGGCGGGCGATGTGCTGGGAGCAGCGGGGGCCGCGGCCCCGGGAGAGTTAACGGGGCCGGCCCGGGTCCCCCTTCTTCGGGCGAGACCGGGATCGCCGCGGGCCGTGCCATCCCGAGTCCCCAGGCCGGCCCCCTCTTCCCCCCGGGGGGCGTAACTCTGTGCCGGGGAGCGCGGCGGCCCCGGCGGGCTCACCTGTTACTCGGCCGCGACCCGGCGCACCCCCTGAGTCCCGGGGACCGCGGCCCGGGTCGGGGGCGGAGAGGGCAGGGGTTGGGGGCGCGCGGGCCGGGCTTGCCGCCGACCGAGCCGCGCGGGGCGCCCCGCCGCCGCACCCGCCCGTGCCCGCTGTGCCCGGCTCCGCCCGGCGCGGCCACGGAGCGCACGCCTCCTGCCTGCTGACCCTCTCGTTTGGTTTCTCGCAGGCCTCTGCCGCAGACATGGAGAAACTCAGGTGAGTGCAGCGTCTCCCGGGCCGCGGCTCGCGGGGTCGGGTCGGAATGGGGGCGCTCGGGAGGGCGGGGTGGGGGGGGCGGAGGGCTCCGCCCGGGCGCAGACACGGGGTCCGGGCCGCTTCGGCAGGGCTGGCGCGGGCCGGTGTGCAGCCGTGGGGTGCGTGTGTGCGCGCCGCGAGACAATGGGGAGCCCCTCGCGCGCGGGGGCTCCTCGGCCCGGGCCAGGGGCGGCCGCGGCGGGGGGAGCGGGTGCACCGCAAGGGCCTGCACGGGCCCCCCCCACCCCTGCCCCGGTGCGCCGCCCCGGACTCTCGGCTGTCCCCTCCCCGGGACCCTCCGGGCTTCTGCGCCCGCTGTTCGCGCCGAGTCCCCGCTCCGGCTTGGGGCCCCCTCCCCCCCACTCCCAGCTGACAGTTGCCTGGTTCTGAGCTTTTAAGTTTACGCCTCGTGGGGGCGGGGGTGGGGGATGGAGTCCTCGCGGCTGGCCAGCCGTGGCGGGCGCGTCTTGGAGCCATTTTGGGGGAATCCCGCGAGTCCGGGAGTGTCCCCTGAGGCCTCCCTCGGGGTGCTAAACTTTGAGCCATCGTGGACTGCCCCGGGCTCCCTTCTCGGCCGGCATCAGCCGATGTGAATATTCACGACTTCCTCCTCGACTTCCCTTGGCCACCCTGACCCCCACTTTGGGAACACCCCTCCTGTGTTTTCCTTCCGGAGTCTGAGCCGAGGCGTTGTGTGGGCAGCAGGCCCAGCTCTGACTGTTAGGTTTCGGCACCATCCCCCAAGGTCTGGAGGGTCTCTTGACCTCCCCCCTCCAGCTGCCCCTCCTCCCAAGGCCAGAATCAGCATCCAAGGGGAAGGCTGCTCGGTAGCCAGGACGCATATCCCCTGCGGGTCTGGGACCTAGCAGAGCCCAGGCTTGTTCCAGAACATACCCCAGGATCTCAGGGAAAGAGACCCAGCTGACCCTAAGTGCTGTGGGTGAGTTGGGAATGTCCAGGTGGGAGCCTGGGACAGGTGGGCTCACAGAAGCCAGAGTCGGGCTGTTCAGAGCAGGGCCATCTCCTGGCCACTGAGCTGGAGTGCAGCCCTCTCTTGGTCCCACTGGGCAAGGACATACTTGTCCCTGGCTAGGAGGAGGGAGCCCGGTCTCTTAGGTCATTGGAGCTCAGACCCAAACTCTGATGCTCAATCTGGCCCACCTGAGCATGGTCAAGGTCCAGGTGGGGCAGGTGAGGCCCAAGGAGATGATGAGCTTAGGCCTCTAACCTCAGGCCAGGGTCCTCCCTGATACCCAACCTTGGCTGTCATCTCACCCGTCTACGGACCTGGGATGGGTCCCTAGGAAGAAGGGACACTGCTTAACTCAGCTGGGACTTGAAAGGTAGCATTCACGGGGCACCCCAAGACCAGCTTGGGGGAGGGGTATCCCTTCTGTGGTTCTCTTTGTCTTTCTCTTGCTCTCCATGTCCACCCACCCCTGTGTTCTGGGCAGTGGGGACAGAGAGGATGCAGGTGGGCAGGTGAGTGAGGGGGTAAGGGGGCCATCTGGGTAGACCCACTGCCTGAGATGCTAAGGGCATCGGGGGCTGAGGCTTCCCTGGGCCGAGTCCCAAAGGCGAGTGGCAGTAGCCTGGGCTTCTGGGCTGTTCTGGGCCACTTGGGCTTTCACCTGAGGCAGGATTTTGGAGCTGGTGGGGGTGGGGATCCCATGGGGCCGGGACACAGTACAGCATCCCAGAACTGGGGAGGGTCCTGCCCTCCTCTTCTTCTCACCCCCATTAGTGTTCTCAGAGCTGCCTTAAGGGCCTTTCCAGACCCTTCCTTACCAGCCAGTGCAGGGACTGCCCCTGTAGGGTTCCATTCTGCATTTAGTGCTGTTGGTGGGGGGTGGGGCAGGGGTCCGGGACCAAGAGGCCTCAAACGAGGTAGGGGAAGTTAGTCAAAACGGGAAGGTCATGGGGCTTGGGCAACCACAGAGCCAGTCTCTGGCCTCAGGTTTCTCATCTGTGAAGTGGATGTCCTAATCATCCCATGCCTCGGCAGGGCTGTTGGGAGAATGAGGTGCCTCACCTGAGACCTGGCCCATAGCAGGGGCCCAGGTGGGGGATCACTGTGGGGCATCTGAACCATACTTTGGTGGGTTCCCCAAGCTCGAGAAGGTGCGTTTGTGGTCAAAATGAAGGAGTCTTGGGGTGTCCTGGGCCCCACTTCCTACTCCTAGATTGCAATTCTGCACTTTGCAGGCTGGGCCTGGGGATCTGAACTGAGCTCCCAGTGGCAGGTCCTCCCCGCCCCCCATACTTGACATCCCACCCCCACTCTGGAGCCTGGAACCAAGTCTAGCTCGTGGAAGGGTCCAGGAAAGATGTGATGAGTGGACAAAAGGAACCCAAGGCTCCCTTCGTGGGTTTCCCCTGCCCCAGCCCCTCTGCTCACCCCCACCCCATACGGAAGCCCCCCTTCTCGGTCCCAAATAAATGGCCAAGCCTTTCTGCCTCAGCCTGTGCTGTTCCCCTGCCCAGAACGCCTTTCCACCTGCCTTCTTGTCTACATGGTAAACTCTTTTCTCCCTGTCACCTATTCCCTGTTGCTTTTGGGACTCTCTTGTCCCTTACCCTCAAGTGGAATCATTCCCTTTCTGCGTACTGAGTCCTGCATTGGGCACTGAGACCGCATAAGACCCAGGCCAACCCTCCAGAGCAGGTGGGGACACAGGCCCATCAACAACAGATCTTCCCAGGGAGCCCAGGCCAGGGACACTGGCTTGGGATATCAGGGAGGGCTTCCTGGAAGCAGGGGTATTTGAGCCAAGGCTTGAAGAATAAATAGGAGTTAGCAAGGAGGATAGACCAGAGAGACCTCCCAAGAGGCACAAAGTCCATGGGAGGCCCTAGGATGCAGGGATGCATTCCGGCGGGGGAGGGGGGACGGGAGGGGGTGGAGGTGGGGAGCACCCTCTGGCGTGTGCCCTGAAGGGGAGCCCCTTCTAGCAGAGCCTGGGTCTGCCCCCTCAAGTCTTCCATCCCCAGCGCCCAGCAGGGGCTCACCATGGTCATGCTCCCCCAGGTCTGGCCACCTCTGACCTGGGTTCCCGTGTCCCCTTGCCCTTGCTCCCTCAGCCCTCCTGCCTCTGCCTGTGACACTTGTATTTGTGGCTGTTGGTGAGGCCGGGCCGCTGTCTTTTTGCAGGGCGGGGAGGTCAATCCTCAAATCAATCCCCTCCTCCACTCTCCCCTGCACAGGGTCCCCTCTGCCTTCGCTCCTGTGCTCCTGCCGTGGCCACTTTGTCTGCCTCAGGCCTTTGGGCCAGCCCCGTCCCCTCTGTGATGTAGGAAAGTGGGTCAGCCACCGCAGGGACGGAGCAGGTGCCCAGGAAACCAGAACTCTTCCCGCTATGCGGCCCCCCTCCCTCTCCCCCAACCAGGATTTTTCAAAGTTGTGAACTGTGACCAGCATACAGAAAAGGGAATAAATATCTGTGCCGTCTAGAGATCAAGTTTAGAACGGCAGGCGCCCGGGTCAAGAAGATGAATACCGCCGGCCCTCTAGGGGCGCCCCAACACCCCTCCCCTTTCCCAGCTCCCTCCGGCTCCCCAGAGGCCTGGGGGGGAGGCAGGTGGCTGGCGTTTGTGACAATCCATTCTTTGTTTTCTGCATCCTTCTGCCACCTGAGAGCATCTCTGACTCTCTAACGGACAGAGCCCCTTTTCTTGCCTGGTCTAGAACCTCCCATCCACGGAGTCTTGCAGCCTGTGTGCCAAAGGCTGGCCTTTTCTCGCCAGAACAGTGTGTTTGCGTGTTGGCGGCGGGGCGGGGTGGCCCACAGCTGGTGTGAGTGCTGTCCCTTTCTTCTCTGCTGGAGCAGTGGGGTTGGCTTCCTGCCTGGACCCCTGGGGACCGAGCTGCAGGATGGTCCTGCCCAGGTGCTCTGGGAGCCCACATGCTGCATGGTTCGGGGTCCGCCCCACCCCGGGGCAGAGCTGTAGGGTCAGGAAGAAGGGGTGGGCCACGCTCCTAGTGCAGCCCAGGGTCGTTGGGAGGTCCATGACCTCCCAGCACTTGGCATCATCTTTGGGGGCGGGGAGGGGCGACATGGTGCTGTTTCTCAGGGTGGGGGGATGCTAACCACACTCCCCTGGATTGGTGCTCACTGGGGCTTCCTCTTCTGTAAGTTCCCAGTGTGTTTTCCAAGCTGTCTGACCAGCTTGTGGGTCTTCTTGGGCCAGGTCCTTGTGCCAGTCACCTCCCAGCGGCCACTAGCTTCCCGCCCTTGAAATGGTCCTGTGATGAACAAAGTTCTTAACTTTTTAATTCGGTTGAATGTTTTCGGCTTGTCCGGCAGAGTAAAGCTTTTTTGCCCAGGGACACCATGTTCACGTCGCTGCTCTTTGATGTACTGTGATGACTGATGTTTGCTGTGGTTGTGCCCCTGCCAACGGCCACTCTCCGTGCTGGGGATGCTGTGGGGAAACACCAACCTGGTGTCCTGGACATAGAGACAGACGACATGTCATGGTGGAAACGTCCAGTCCCACTGACCTCCTCTCCCATGACTCTCCCCTCTAGCCGCCTGGCCTCCTTGCCATTCCTCAAGCACATTAGACAGGCTCCTGCCCCAGGGCCTTTGCCCAAGCTCTTCCTTTCGACCTGGAATGTTCTTCTCCAGATATCCATATGAGTCCTACCTTCCCTCCTTCCACATCATTTTCAGATGTCAGGGGGACATCTCGTTTCCTGACTGCTCATTCCATTCATACTATCAACCCCCCTCCCTGCCCCCTCTCTGTCTTGATTTTCCCTGCCACCCCGATCTCCAGCTGACTAGTGATTTGCTTTATTTTTTTATCTTGTTTATTACCTGTCTCCCCACTCCCCTGTCCAGAAGACCAGTCCACTGCTGACCTCCAGTGTTTAGAACTGGCACATAGTAGGTATTCAGTAAATGCTTTTGGATGAGGCCACACTGTGGCAAACAGTGCGGAAGGAGGAGCTGGACAGC